GATAGAGGGATTTATCTATCAATAAGAAATATAAAATCTGTTCTAATACTTCTGGCATACTAAAAATTCTTGAATGTGACATAAATAATATGTGTATTAAAAATGCAAAGAACAGTTTAAATTTCAAACTGATGACCAGTTACCTATAGGTAGACATATACTCTCTTTTTCTAAGCATGGAAAGAAAAAGCATGATTAATTTCGATTTGAAAAAATATATGTCATAGTTATAGTCTGTGCAAATATTCCAATTGACAATGTCAAAAGTTACAACAAATTTCGTAAATCAGTATAACTTAACCTCCAAATGAGCATAGCCGAACTTAGCAATTATGCTGAAGAATTGGTTAGACATTTAAAAGATGTGAAGGCTCGTGACCATGCACGAAATCAGATCCAGAAATTAGGATTTAGTAAAGATCAAATATATGCTTTAATTCCTATTCAAACTTCTGGAAGACGTGTTACAGGTCGAGATCTGGTTAAGAAACTTGCTTTGTATATTAAGGAGAATGAAACCAATCTCGAACTCAAACGGATAAGCGAATTGACCTATAATTTGGCAAAAACAGGTCCCACTGTTATAGCTCAATCTTCTCTTCTTAAATTGCTCTGAAAAAAATTATGCCGACTCAATGCCAATTACATTACATTAAAAGCTATATATGATCCAGACATTACTTGAAGATCAAATAAGGAACAAGCGATAAATCAGGAGCTCTGTGAAGATGAGGAGGATACGATTGTCCCGAATTCTTTTACTTGAAAAATGTCCAGAAAAGACTTAAGGATTGTAACATTACCAATTTCCCTACAATGCAAAATTTAATGGATATAATGATAATGTTATCTATGAGGTCAGCAGATGTTACAAATCTTCGTATTAATTACTATAAATCATCTAACGCTGATTGGTACGATCTTAAATATTCTTGGTACTGCACTGGATATGTCAAAAATAAAAAAGACGAACCTAGACCATTAGTATCTATGGAGAAAGATCCACTACTGACTAGAGAATTACTTATTTGAATTCAGAAAGCAATTCCTAACAAATTCCCATTTTTAATAAGAGATAAAGATGGTGATATAAATGTTCACCCAATTAATAATTTTCTAGTAATTTATGGAATAAGCTTATCGCATTTGAGAAAAATAGGATCTGACTATGTTATTATAATTCATGAAGGTAAGATTCGCTCTAAATATAACCATCTTTGTAAGTTAGCATTAAGACACAAAATAAATCGAGAAGCATCAGATCATTACGGTGTGATGAATAACAGACCGAATATTTCAACACCTAGGTCAATTTCCTCTACGATTAAACAAGAATATGATGAAATTGAAGATATCTATAATTTATATAGGAATATTTAAATTAGTAGTTATTAATCGTCAGATGTGATATTATTCTCACTTTGTAAGTTACTATCGAATAAGTTATAGGTTTCATTTTTTACACAATGTAATATGCAATGGCCTGTCCCTTCATTAATACAACAATGATTTCTACAACATCCATACTTATTTACTATATGTTTTATACAATAATCACCTCCCCATGGCTCATAAAACAATTTACCGCATTCCCGGCATTTATCAAAGTAATTTAGAAATTTATTATTATTAAGTTTTTTTACTAATTTTTTTATGTAACAGAATTCAATTGTTTTTTTATAATCTCTAGGTATATCATCATCCGAATCGAGGTACTCCACTGAAAAATTAATTTCAGTATCTTTCATTGCTTTAAAATCAAAAATTTGATCCATATTGTATTTGTGAAAACTTGAGAATTCTATATAATAATAAAATTAATTGTGTAAATACCAAAACCTTGTGAGATTTCGTCTCTATGATGAAGAGTAACTATACTTCTTTGCTTTTGTCATATGTATATTCACCTCATCATTAGAACTAGATTCATTATTGAATTTGAGTTCTATCCAGAACTCCTCTATATCTTCATCTGAGGAATAATTAAGAATGGACCTTTTTTTCACTTTACGCTGTTTTCTAGCAATGTCTGGATTTGCTATTAAGTCAGTAATCTCTAGCCTAATCTCGGGTTTCACTATCTTCAGTAATTGGCAGATAGAAATCTAAATTTTTTTACTAGACACTTGCTTAACAATACTGGATATCGCTCTATTGGTATTCTGAGATAGGGTATCCTTATTATTTTTCCAACCCATTTGTTTAGCAAATTCTTTGATTATAGTTGACCAGTTAGCGCCTGAATCGATAGTAGATTTAGTTGTCGTTGATGGTATAATATATGTCCATTGTGGAACAATGAGCTTCGCTCTGATATTAGCTTTGCTATTATTTATTAATACGAAGTAAAAAATACATTAAATATATATATTTACAAAAACAAAATTATCACTAGGGGTTAGATATGATCGATGAAAAAATCAAAGAAAAATTTATTAATGGTTTATCATTAGAGAATCAAATAAATACGATCCGATTTGGGATTAAAGAGCTAATAAATAAAATAATTGAGCATTTAAAATTTAAGTGTCTTGACACTAGCTCCGCTATCTCAACTGGGTTTACCGATATTCAAAAATTCCGATTTGAGGAATTGGAGCAAGGAAATGAATCAGTAATGGAGTATTTTGCAAAAGTAGAAAAATGTGATAAATTAGTTGGATACAATGGAGAACAGCTTAGATATTTTTTTCTTCGTGAATTGTCACCAGATAACCAGATGGAAGTCAGAAGATGTGAATTAGAGCTTCCATTGGATGAGCTAGTAGAGAGGTTAAGCACATTGGAAAGACTTGTCAGATAAGCAAGAGAATGTGCAATTATCTGAACATATGTCTTTTTTCTGATTAAAGATATATAATAATAAATTACTTGAAAATGGCGCAACTATCGTGGAGCAGGCCATTAGGCAATTCAAAAAATCATAATCCTTTGGGTCTAAATATTTTTGATTTATCAGAATTGCTAGAACAGATCTTATATTTTTTAGAAATCGATCGATCCCTCTATTCTGCTTTATTCATTAACCACCTTTGGTATCACTGCAGTGCTCCTATTCTATAGTATTGCGTTGAGTTTTTTATAAAAGATTGTTAACAAAGCCAAGATAGTAAAATTGTATCTGGAACTCTTTATCGGCGATTAATGAAGTTAAAAAGAGTTATACGTGAAAAAATAAAGCCACTCTATTGTTCAAGGATGATATATCTCAGATTGGAAGGTTTAAAAATCTCAGATGCTTTAATAAATACAATTTTACGATCATGTCTGAATATACGCTTTCTCATTCTTGATAAAAGTAAGGATTTCACTAATATACCAATTATAGAAATTGCAAGATATTGCCCAAAGCTATTACATCTGAGTCTTAATTCATGTATATGTCTCACTAATCGGTGTATCACTGAAATAACACGTTTTTGTCCAAATCTTAGACATCTTGAACTTGACGACTGTTCGATTAGTAACAAAGCTGTCGAAGAAATAGCTGGCAACTGTAATAATTTGAAATATCTCAGTTTGGAAAGGTGTAAAGGGATTAGCAAAGAAGTAATAGAAAAACTCAATCCAAAAATTAAAATCAAATATTCTGATTATTTAGATAAAAAATGATCTGATTCTGATCTACCTATTTCAATATTTACTGGTACATTATTAGATGAAACAGATCTTATTTCTGCGCTCAGTAATTATATCAGAGAGATTGGCGAGATTAATTTTAATTATTCAGCATGGTTTACAAATAATTTTATTTAGTAGTGGAAAATGGTTAATTATTTACCGAGTTATTTTTTCAGTTATAATATATATCATTAAATAATATTTGACATGTTTTTCATTGATACACTTGTTAAAGGAAAAATCCCAGTAAAAGCATTAATCGATACAACATCTAAATCTAATACTATTAGCAGGTGCTTGTATAATAAGCTTGAAGAGGATTATGGGTTAAAAGGTATATCCGGTGATGATATGATAGGCAAAGAAATAAAATGCTTAGATTTGCAATTTTGATATAAAGGAAAGTGGCAAAGCTTAGATATCACCAAAGTAATAGACTTTCAAATTCGCAAAAATTCATCGTTCGATCTAATATTGGGACAAGATTAGTTATGGGCGCATGAAGCAAAAATAAGCTTTAAATTTTCTCCTGGAACCTATGAACAATATGGTATTAT